CCTTAAAAATCAGCTTGAGGGTAGTGAAGTTGTCATTTTGAATATATTGGATAATAGTTCTTGTCTCCCTCATGGGTGTTGCAAAGATCAATATGTTGAAGACTGAAAAACACTTGAATGTTATAGTTGTATGAACCCAAATAAGTAGTTAACATAGGTAATGCAGTTTAGGGCCTAAGGAATATTTAGATCATTTAGTTTGACCTCCTCTATATTACTGATCATTGAAGCTTGACACAGATATTCTATATTAAGTCCAAGAACATTAATGAACCTAGCACAGTCCACAGGAAATTACTGTTTTCCGGAGGAAAAGAAGGTGGGAAAACAGGTACGACCAGTGCCCAGATCCACTGTGATGGCAGAGAATTGATTATGTAAGAGAAGCCCAGAGGATCCAAGCAAGCAAAAGGTGAAGAGAAAAGGTGAAAAAATCATTATAGTCCCTTTTAAGATGGCCTGGGAGAAATTCATTCATGACTCCAAATTGGATCATCAGTTTGACCCTGAGCATGTAAGAAATACAGTCCATACAACCTCTACGGATTTTCTTTGTCACTTCAGAGGACTGGAGCTTTTCTTTTATTCTTTCTAGCTGTGCCCAATCTGTGATGCTTCAGAGGAAGGAAAAAATAACAAATGAACCATAACTAAGCTGTTTCAGGGTGGGGAAAATTCCTCCTGAACCTTAAGGAAACGGCTGAAACCTCAAAACATAAGACTCAACCAAAAGCATTTTCTTAGCTCAGGGCTGCAATTCCTGTGAGTATTTTTGAGGACAGTGCAGGCATTCCTTTTCTCCCCAAGGTTCATGAAGAAGAGAGATAAAAGATAGACTTGGGCTCCTATCCTTCTCATATTCCCTTCTTGTACAATGGGTTTAGAAGCTTCTTTATAGGTGTGGTGTTTTGAGTTTACCATATGTTCTGAATATTGGCATATGGGCTAGGGACAGAAGTTACATATAAACTGGATCAAGTGATCAGAAATTGGTCTAAACCTGTAACAGAACATAGACTGAGTGCACATAAACCAGTTTCAAAATGCCCAAAGTTGGGTTAAGATAAACCTGGTTGAACGTAGTATCACACGTAACTGATTTGGGTCAAACCAATTTATGGAACTTGTGTCCCAAACCACTTCATGGTTTAAATCAGAGTCCCCCAGCATCCCAGCATGCTTTTCAACCCTGAGCTGAGCTGGTCTGTCTGCTCTGGGGAGCAGGGCTGGCCCACCCCTTTTCTCCCTAGTCAGAGTACTCGCTGGCTGAAAAGGAGGTGGAGACTGCCGGGTACAGTAGTGTCTGCCTGGCTTCCCTCTGCCCCCCGCTGCTCCCTGCTCAAGCAGGGATCCCCCCCCCTCCCCTTCTCTCCATCCCCTCTCCCACAGCATGTACCCCAGCAGCATGGACCCCACTAGCATCTGGTCACAGTCACACCACTCCCATGGTAGCTAATGCTGAGAGGTGTCTATGTGTGTGTGTGTGTCTCCAATTTCAATGGAACAAAGGCAGATAGAATGGTGTCCACTTAGGGCTGGTTGGAATTAATCAGTAGGCCAGCTGGTAATGTTCCTCTGTTCTTCCTTCCAAGTGCTTTGGAAAAAGCTGTTTACGAAAAGCTTGAACTAATGAGAGAGGGGCTTTTGTATTCTTGATGGGCTGATAAGCTTTGTTTTTCTTGATGGGCTGATAAGCTCATTCCTGGCTACTTGTTTCAAAGTCTGCAATCTGACCATTTTCAAAAGGAGACAGAGTGAGGTGTGAGAAATGACCTGGTTTGCAGAGCATCAGACTTGTGAGTGCCATCAGTTTGCTGCAGACAGTATGAAGAAGCAGGGAGAGGGAGACTGAAAGACTCAGTATCATTAACAGATGCATGTTCTCCACATAAGCAGTCCTTCCCTGCCCCCACAACCCTTTGCCTCAGAGTGCTACCTGGGGGCTGGGATCTGGCAACACTCCTGTTCCTTGAACAGTGAGCAGGGCAGGGGATGTTGGGGGAAGCCTGGTGAGGGCTACTTCCCCCTCCCCCTCCAGGCACACTCCAGCTAGGGACTATGCAGGCTAGAGTGGGGTTTTAAAACACTCCCTAATCACAGCTTTCTGCTGGGGCCTGGCCACGCCCCCACCCCCCTCAGCTCAGCTTTGTAGAAGGGAAGGGAGGGCTTGCTCTAGTGCTCCCTGGCTTCTAGCCTGAGCCACTGCAGGCATGTGCCTGCATTTCATGAATCAAAAGTGTATGTTTTTCCACTTGCAAATCAGTCCAATCTCTACAGGTTAAACTGACCTCAAAGATTGAATCAATTCAAGCTCAGGCTTTTTGAATGTCTGCCCCTAGTCGTCATGATTGTGCTTCCTGGGAAGGAAACTGTAATTGAGGAGTGTGGTGGCCAAGGGAAATAACCAACACATTTTTTGACGTGCTTCCAAGTGTATTAACATAGCTATATCCTTATTAACATAGCTATATCCTGGGGCACTGAAGAAAGTATGTGAGGCTAATATCTGATCAACATCCCAAACAATTCCACTTACCTACATAGAAAGGAGATGTAGCAACTATCTGGAGCTTGCTTCCATACCCAACCTGCCCTTCATGATGTAGGTAGGACATATGATCCTTTGTAATTGTTATCTAAATAACATTTTAACCTGCCAATCTGGGACTTTTCACAAGTACTAAATTTTACCCAATGGAATATGAAATAGAACTAAAAAGCCTATACCAAAGAACAAGAAACTTCCTAGACCCCAAAAGAGTAAAGCTAAAAAGCTAAAGCAGGACAGTGCAGGCATTCCTCATTTTGTAAAGATGTCAGCTTCCAAGCTCTGCAAACGTTGAATTTCCTTTATTTGTGATAGAAAACCACTGTTTTAGGTGTTTTACATGTTAAATACATTTATTTTGTTACACATTTGTTTGTGCTTTGTTTTACATCTATATATGTATTTTAAAAGAACTTGATTAGAATTATAATCAAACAATTAAATAGCCATATGTGGAATTTGATTTTATTTTTCATGAAGAATAATAGTTTTTTTCAGAAACTTTATAAGAGCTGAGAGAGAATAAGCTATTCCTTTTCTAAAATTTTAGTTGAACAAGATGATCAATTAAGTTTAATTAAATCCATAATAGCATTTAATAACATCTTAATAATGCCAATTAGTTTGATACTTACTCTTTAAGATAACAGCTTAATTAGACTATTATACTGGATTTTGGATGCTAATCACATACTAAATCTTTTCAAAACTGTGCCATCAAAGGAGAAGTTTAGAATAAAGAATTTAGGATCATCACAAGAAAAAATCTACAGTGTATCATGTTCTGTTTCTTTCAGAATCTTTAATGCACGATTAGGCATGCTGGTTCACAGATTCACAGAAGTTTAGGGCTGGAAAGGACCTCCATGAGATCATTGGGTCCAGCCTCCCTGCTCTAGGCAGGAAAGACTGGTTAAAGTACTTTGTTAGGAAACAGGAGATTTTGCTGGGACAAGGTATTTTAGAGATCCTGGGTCTTCTGCTCCATAGCTATTGAGCTTATACGTTGTAAAATCCTGTTCTCTTCCTCCTCCTAATTTTTATTGATGGCAGATGCATATACAGGCTATTTCAATTTTGCTACAGTGGGAGGTCTAATCTCAATCTGTAGGTTAAGCAGAAAAAACCTGCATTTATAGCTGCATATGTACCATTTAGGCATGCAAAGTGAAATATTATTTATCTGAATGTGCCTATTCCATGAGGGAGTAAGAACTAGTAAGTTCTTGACACATTTGTTTCTCAGGAACCTTAATGTATGCAATAACTGGTGCTTTCTATTGGCCATAATAGAGAGAATAAGGACAAGCAGCTATAGGAAGTCTAAATTAATGAACCTGACCACAGAGCAAATACTTAATGACTCTGAGAAAAAGGGATATGATCCTCATAAACTTATAGAAAAAAACAAAACAAAACCTATGTGAGATTTTGCTTCATCCCTAAAGATTCCTATTCATTCTGCAACTCTGTATAGATTTGGTGCCTCTATCTGAAATAAATGGTCAAGGTTTTTCCATAAAGCATCACAAATATTTTTTAAGCAGATTATTTAATAAAATCGTAATGTAAAATAATAATGTAATGTAATATAACTATATAAGCATAGGGTGTTAGGGCTATGTTGCATCAGGGTTGACTTTTTTTTTTGCTTTGTAGCAGAATATTTTCATTGGACTTTAAGAAGAAATAAACACTTTCCTGCAATGTTTGCAACAAGAATCTAGTATGCAAGTTTAGATGCTATAACTGATGAATGATTGATATTAAAGTGAAACTAATCATACTCTGTTTTCATCTATTAAAAAAAATGAAGTATTTATTTTGGTTTTAATGATCTTATGTATTTATTAAAAGGAATCTGTTTTTTAATGTATGGGTATTAACATTATTGCCTTTTATTACTATAACTTGCACTGTGCAACACATTGCTATTCTTGAATGTTAACTTTCATAGGATTATAGAATCATAGAAAATTAGGGTTGCAAGGGATCTCAGGAGATCATCTAGTCCAACCTCCTAATCAAAGTATGATCATTTCCAATTAGATAAGCCCAGCTAAGGTCTTGTCTAGCCAGGTCTCAAAAACTGCCAAGGATGGAGACCCCACAACCTCTCTGGATAACCTGTTCCAGTGCTTTATCACCCTCATACTGAGAAAGTTTTTCCTAATATCTAACCTAAGCTTCCCTTGCTTCAACTTGAAACCATTGCTCCTTGTTCTGTCATTTGCCACCACCAAGAACAATCTAGTGCTATCCTCTTTGGAACCACCCTTCAGGTAGCTAAAAGCAGCTATTCAATCCCCCCTCAGTCTTCTCTTCTTCAGACTAAATATTTATGATCAAATCAAAACTATTTTTTTGGAGCTGGGATAAGTTTTAGTCTTGGTTTTGGACCATTGCTTTATTTTCTTTCAAAAAGATGAGAATTATATGAGTGATTTCCATCATGACTAATATTACTAAGTCTGAAAAAATTGAATATTACAGTTTGCCATCCTGTGATGTTCTAAACAGATTGCTTAATCAGTAAGTGGCAACAAGCATAAGGACAGTGTATGTAAGGATTTGGAATTCGTAAAAATGTTGTTGTTATAGTAAGACATCTTTATTTCTGTGGTGTACTAATGGCTTGTCTGACCTTTCCATCCTTCCAACCAGAATGGCTTTGGGCAATAGATTTAATTCTACATAGACAGAACTTATCTTCCAGATTGTAATTAATAGGTTAGTATTTAATGATTACATTTATGCATGCACAAATGATGAAGCTGAACAATTACTGCTGGGTTGAACTGAGGCACAATTACTAGTGGCTTAGCCACCAGGAGTACTTGAAAGATTCTGTATGCATTTCCACATTTATAATTATGCAAAAAGCTTCATTTTCTTACTTGACCTTTAAAGCACCCTATGTGCTGATTGTAGGGA